CTCACGTAAACTGTTCGTACGAAGGAGATTCGTAAGTTTGTAGCGCAATTTTACGGATAAAAGGGAACCGCTAATTATAATTGAAAACATGGTACTTTGTTCGTATTTAGTTCGGAATTCGTGTTTAACATTTTTCTTTGCGTCAATTCATTTTCGAAATTATTACGGTAGTGAATTAAAAATTAATTCATAATATCAGTACGTATGCTTGCTACGTGTAAAAATGCTCAACCGTGGAATTTTTCTCCGAAAACAAGAATTATGGCGATAATGAGTTAAAAATGAATTCGTAATATCAACATATATGTATATTTGCCTACGTGTTAAAAATTCACAAGCGTGGAATTTTTCTTCAAAAACGCTCAAATATGGAATTTTTCTTCAAAAACGCTCAAATATGGAATTTTTCTTTAAAAATTCTCAAGCGTGGAATTTTCTCCAAAAAATGCTCAAGCGTGGAATTTTTCTCTAAAAATTCTCAAGCGTGGAATTTTCTCCAAAAAATGCTCAAGCGTGGAATTTTTCTCTAAAAATGCTCAAACGTGGAATTTTTCTCGAAGAAATTCTCAAACGTGGAATTTTTCTCCAAAAATTCTCAAGCGTGGAATTTTCTCCAAAAATTCTCAAGCGTGGAATTTTCTCCAAAAAATGCTCAAGCGTGGAATTTTCCACTCGAAAGACAATAATTATCGCGATAATGGTATCGGAAAGTGAATATCATTTCGAGTGGATGTAGAAATATTTCTTCTCGTCTAACCCCTGTGCCAATGAACCTCCGTTAGTTGGGATTACAAGCTGCGGAGGGACCGATGAACTTTTAAATGAGGGACGGTGGGAACTCTAGGCAGGATGTTATTTTGTGAGAAATCATGTTACTTCCGGTCACTCGCCGCGCCCCTTCAGCCAGCCAGCATTCATATTTGTCACCGGATCGAACGATTAACACCGGATTAACTAGTTTTTCCGCTCTCGAGTTATTTCAGGCTGCCTGTGTTTCGCAGTTACATCATTTGAAAAGCGAGTCTCGATGAGTTTACGTACCGTAGCTTTCATCCTATCACTGTAACCGAACTATGTAATTAGTTGACGTATATTCTTCTGCACGTACATGTGTGAAACGGAACCGAAAGTCGTGTGAATTAGTCGAGATTCTGTCGAATCTTTTGTCATTTTGTTTCTTCGTTGCACATACACACACACGTACAAAAACATGCAATTGTTATTTTGCAAATTTCTACAATTTCAATGTTAATAATGTTAGAAATTTCTAGGGTTTTCTGACAAAACAGCTACATAGTATTTTAACCCTTTCGTGGACCAGTGGAACGCATATGTGTGTTTCTAATGAAATTTGCAGCTGTGAAATTTATAGTATCTGTTTTTTTAAATTAATTCAGATACAAAGATTGCTGGTATGATATTGATCTTGAATATTTTGGAGATTTTAACGGTTCCTCTAGCTTTTTTTTTTCTTTTATTTTTCCTAATGCAAGGTACATTTTAACGTTGTCCTTACATTTATAAGAAAATGTGCAATTGTTTTGCATAATAATTAGAGAGTAGATATAAGTGTGTAATTTTGAAAATAACTGCAGTAAAAAGAGCACGAAATAGTTAATAAATGAAAATTTAAAATAAAAGTTGTAATTTTTAAATGAAATTTAAATACCCAATAGTAAAATGATAAAAAAGTCGTTATAAATATTATAACAATCACACAAAAATGCGAATAAAATGCGAATCACGAAAATAATTAGAAAAATTTATTTCTAATTAAACGTTGCAAGAATCGTTACCCACGACCAACCGAAGCTTCAATTTTAATCGTCGTAGTTTCGCACTACTCTTTGTTGCAAACGCGGTGAAACCAGCAGAGGCAATTCATACTTGGACCAAAAATATTTCCCAACTGCTTATGCAATTACCTTGGAATTCCTCGCGGCGGGTCTTCTCGAAAAATCGTTTCAATAATACACGATTGCATTGATCTGGCGGCGAGCGCGTGCGTTCGCGTTCCGCGAATTTCCAAAAGTGTAAATGCCAAGTTAGATAATGTCCGCGGGCAAATTTTGGTGCGCGATGTCGCGAGAAGGGACGGAAGCCGACAGGAAGTGGGGGAATGTCGATGTACGGTATATTTATTTCGGTCGAAATACTGCTTGCATGATGTCATCGTCGATTTTCGAGATTGGCTTGCGGCTCGTTTCTAGTTTCGAGATTGTCTGGAGACTTTCTGACGGCGGCTGTGGAACGCGCGTTTCGCGAAGCAAGGGGAAATCACTTTGCAGACTAAACATCCACTTGTCTCGTACTTTTCGATGGAAAAGGCTACGAGTCTTCTTT